GATTGGTTGTTTTTATTTTATTTGTAGCTGTTCTAAATAATCCATCTCACGACATTGGCCACCACTCTTTGAAGTTCTTCTGCCAGAATGTTCTTCTTCTGCTTTGATTACGTCCTTCCCTAGATTTTCCACCGCCACAGAATAATCTGCAGTAACTGAGACTTGGGATCTCTTAGGAATTTCTTAAGGATTTTAAAATCTCTTCTTCTTTGTGCATACGGCGTAGCACCATGATATTTGTAACTTTATCAGCCCAAGGAATTCGTAACATTCGTAACACCATCTTTTGGAAGCCACCAATTTTGGTTGTTCTAATGGTTCATATTTCGGTGGCATATAATAAGGTTGACATCATAAAGCATCAGACATTTTTGTTTTTAATTGGTTAATGTTTCTACTGCAAAGAAATTTCTTGAATTTTAGAAAAACTTTGGGCTATTTCGATCCTCAATATTATTTCTTATAACTGTTCGACAGTTTTATTTATTATTGTGCCCAAGTGCTTGTAGTATTGGACTTTTTCTATTGTCACATTGTCTATGGATATATTAAAAATTATATTTTGGTGTTTTGTCGTAACCACGAATTTTGTTTCGTGAAATTCATATTCAGATCATATCGTTTGCAGGAGTCATTGATTCTTCGTAGTAGATTCTGCAGATCCTTGTTACTGTCTGTCATTACTACTGCATTGTCAGCATATCCAAGATTGTTGATTCGACGACTATTCACATTGATGTTCTATATGCCGCATCTCTCTGTTGTTGTGAGATTTTTATGGTTTCGTAATCCATGTCGTTTTGGTGGTAAATATGCTTTTTAGCAGCTGTTGTAGGCGTGTATCAGTAATTGATGTCTGACAGAGTCTATATATATATCTTTTATTAGTGTCGTTTGTTCTCCAACATTCATCAAAATATTCTGCAATTGTTGATTTGTGTGGTGTTATCAAGAGATAATTCATTATTTCCTCTCGAACATTTGATGGTGGTTTCACATTCCTATTTGGCGATGTACGGCGCTGACAATGGTGTTTTTATTGTTGATTTTGCTGTGTAGCGATCCAGGACAGTGGTGTCCCATATTTTCTTCATTTCTTAGTACAGTCACTGGGATTTAGCTCACCACCTGTATTGTTGCACCAACTGTGTGAGGGTCATTCGATTGGCAAACAGAATGCCTGTAACCAGCAACTGATATTTCACTATTTACAAAAGTATGTGTGTTTCTGTAAGTGTTTGTGCGTTTCTGTAAGAAATACAATAAGAGGTTTTCTGGATTCAAATGGGTTTCTCAGTTCAAACATTTTATTACTATACCAGCAGCATTTAAATACAAACATGAACCCTTCGTAATATAAAAAAAAAACTGATATTCAGTTCTCTGTTGTGTTTGTCATCTTATATATTTACAGTTTTCAATACGTTATGTTTCATGTCAATATTTCTAATCTTCAACATCTTTTTTGTATATTCACAATTTGAACATGTTCGTCTAGGCTGTACAAACCTATGTAATATAATAATCTCCGCTGCAGTTTGGACAAATTTGTCTGGAGCTACGGTAGTTGTTTGCTATATAGCTGTATTTGCACCATATAAAGAAATAGTATGAAACAGAGAAAGTGTCGCACTCAAGTGAAAATCTTTTAAGTTTCGTCTGACAATCGAAAGGCTTGAATGCACAGTGTCGATCCTAGATTTCATCTCAAAGGTAACAGATCCCTAATCAAAAGGTAGTTTAGAGCACTCCAATTAAGCATTAACTTGTTTTGTACTCTTAGGGTTTTTTCTTCTCAAAGGCATTTTAATATCATAATATGTATCAGAGATTGTGGTTTCTTTTACTGCTTGGTAAAGCTTTGCAGCGATTCTTCTGTATCGCAGTTTATTTGAACAATATGGTGTGCAGTCGATCTAATTTTGTGGTCGGCGGTTCGTTAGTTTCTACTATGCAGTTTTTAGTCAACTACTAATTTTTGGTCTCTACTGTTTTATACGCTGTGTCCTTTATTTTGTGTATGTTTAATTAGTTTTCTAACTTTGTATGCATTCGCATGACATCTATTCTACGACTTGTGTGTGAGAAAACAAGTGTGTATGGCACTTTTATTTTAGGGTTTAATTTTGTGACGTTTGTGTAGTTGTCAGTTGTTTGTTTTATTTTATTTTACGGACTAGAGTTGTCAGAGACAAGATTTGGGTTGCTAGAGATAGATGTCAGATGTCAGATGTTGCTAGAGACACTGTCAGATTAGAGTTGCGTGGGCGCAACTAAGTTCAGGTTGGCCGAATGATTAGAGTTGCGTGGGCGCAACTAAGTTCAGGTTGACCGAATGTAAAACTTGGAAAATAAGTCTGTTATAATAATGCTTTTATTTATTCACTATTCTAATAAACAATGTGCATTCTTTTTCTGAACCTCTATTTATTTATTTGGTAATGCTAAAACACTCCATTTGAAAGTCGATTAGAGAAAGTATGATTCATTGGCAAGCAATGTAAATATTTATGATCAGGTAAAATTGTGATGTAAGAGAAGGCTTAGCTCGGCAGGCTAGTGAGTTGTTGATAGGCCGGCCGGCTGTAGTGTTGTGTTTTGTCACAGAGCTGATATTTGGAAGTAGCGAGTCTTTTAACTATGGAAGTAGAAAACCACTTGTGACGTCCTGCCTTCGAGATGGTCTTGAGAGTTTGAGGTCTCTCTAGCTTCTCGATTGACACCGCTGGAGCGTTGTGTGTGGACCCCAATTAGCCCCATCGATTGGGATGCGAATCTGTTTAGCGGCAGATTTGCGTCCGGGGAAGCCCCTATACTATTTCAGGTGACACTAGCTAGTTGTTGAAGATAATTAACCAATAGATCCGAGTAATAATTGAATTAGATGGAAGATATGGAATGGGATATATTGAATAGAATGTCAGTGATGTCAGTGGCTAGGGGCGGAGTACCCCCGGGTGAGTCCTACTATTTAACTATCAATTTTATCCAGATCAGTAAATGTTTGTTTTGTTATTTTCATGTACAATGAGAGAGTGCTTGCCAATGACCAACTAAATGGATATTTGAGGTGAATTTGCATTGTGAGACCCGGTTGAGTAAGCCCCAAAAATAACGATTTTACACTATGAAACTAGACTGCAAATAATACTACTATAAATATTTAAACAATTTATTGAAATATCAAAAAGGTTAAATGTATAGAGAAAATGATGAAATGTATATGAAATGAAGTAAAGTTTAAATCGATAATAATAAATGCAAAATGAAAATGGTCTAAGCTATACTAAAACTAAGACGTCATCCCCCTTAACTTAAACTAAGTATGCTCTAAAGGTGGAATACAAATAGCAAATCTAAATCTAACTAATATCTAAACAGTCTTACTCTAAGTGATATACTTGAAAACTTCCTCCGGCTGAGCTACGGCGTATAGCTACAGGGTTGCTACGCTCGGGTACTGTCACTGGATCCCGTCAGCAAATGTACAGATTGAAGGTAGGTGTTAAGGTTTCAAATGGTGAACGTAAAAACCCTAAATAATATCGGTTGTCTTAGAAAAGAGCCTCAATTATAGAACAAGGACTAGCACAACGTGTAGGAGTCAATAAAGGTAATAAAGAGGGACTAATTAAATCTGAACTATACCTCAACGAGGGTCTACGATGTCCAACGGGTAACTCTACACACGGGCAACAGGAACGGATGGAATTTTGGACTGTTCTGTGCACTACGGTCTGGATCGGTTTTCTTGATCTACAATTACGAACAACCAAATAAGATTTAAGAAAGATAACACTCAACTAATCTTTTTACACCACGTGGGCGTGGAAAAGTCGAAAACCAGATAACAATATGAACAAAAATCAGTTGAGCATTGACAAGAATAGGCAGAAGAATTATAGCATACCTTGGAACTATTCGGGGACTTCTTGGGCACGTGGAATCGGAATATCGGTCGGAAAAAGGCTATTTTAATCCCATTACGGAAACTGATCGGTGGTCCATGTAAACTCAACAAAATCCAACCACGTCTCTGACCAAATGTGTTTCGGAAGCCTTAATCCTTCTTTACTGCTGATTATTTTCCAACAGCCATATTTCATATCCGGTCAATGAACGAACTAAACTCAGAAATTCCACAATTAAAATGAACGAATTGAACACTGCGATCCACATCAAAAATAAACGATTTAACTACGAAATTTTATCTGATAATTATAAAATTTCAATAACCAAAACAAAGGATAAATAAATTCAAAAACATCTGATTTGATCTGACAGTGAAAAGTGACGAACAGGTGATGATCAAAGATATAGAGAGATGGACAAAAAGCCTACTGCTGGTCGGCATCAGTGACAATAATGTGTAGCTGAATAATATCGCGGTGTATATCGGGTTGCATAATGGTAAAATACTAAATAAAATAATATTTAACAATAAAATTATAGTAAACATGATGCAAAAATAATAGTTATTTGCGATAATTTATGAGCTAGCACACAGAGGTCGTTGCGAGGAAATATGACTGTTACAGGATAGCCTATATTTGGCCACCGGTATCAGCCCAACACCGGTGTTGAAACTGTGCTCCGGTGTTTTTAACAGGCATAATCTAAGGTGGAAATGGTGTCTTTTCCAGAAAGCAAAGTGCATGGTTAGCTAGCAAATTCTATCGAAGTTCTATCCTAATCGATTATCTTCAGAAAAAAAAAAGTTTAACAGAATAAGTTGATTACTATTTATCATTGTTATGTATCTATGCAAATTGTTTTAAAAAACACCGATTTTAAAAGAAAACATTACTCACAAATGTGAAAAGAACGAGAAAAGATTCAGTACCTAGAAGATTAATTTCAAAAATTTCAATAAGTTTTATATTTTTAATAACAAACAAATAATTTAACCCTGAAAATATTTTTGTAAAAATATATTTGCATTAAGAGTCACCCTATACATATTTATGTATAACCCTATTCATATATGTATATGACCTTACCTGATATGCTATATTGGCGTTTATATGCATTCCAAAAATTTCTGGCTCCTCAATAATTGGAAATTCGTCTATAAATTCTTTATATTCTCTTAGTTTCTTTAGTTCGGGACAGTAATATATTCCTGATAAGGAATATTTGTAATTTTTTGTGAGTATTTGAGGTGAGAAGAAAATCTTTAAGACAGTTTTTAAGCACCTTAAATCCCAATAATCTGTAACACGACCTCCATAAATAATTTCGCCTAAAATTTATAAAATGGCGGTAAGTATGCAGGGTGACATATACATATTTTGCAGTTAAAAATAAGTGAAAAGTGTTTGCATAAATTTATGTCCTAAAATGGTTCGTTAATACGGGGTGTAGAAGTTCCATTTATATTTTGACGTTCCTAATAATTTCTGAACTAACGTCGATATTTGGATGAAAATTGGTGTCTGGAAGTTTTTTAACTTGAAAAATTTGATTTAGATATTAATATGACTCCTACTTGTAGAAGACGCCACCTACATATATTTTAACTAGTTTGAAGAGTAAAGTAATAATTTCTTGTCTATATCTGCATAAAACTACTAAATAAAAAAATTAGACATCTACTTTGTACGTAAAGAAGCTCTCTTGGTAAAAATTGCTACGAGCAGCCGTTCTCCAGATATTTCTAATATTATTAATCAATACGTTATTATTGACAAAAAATAAACACATATGCTCACTAGATATTAGACTGAAATAATAAATTTTGAAATGTTTTTTGGCTAAAGGTTCAACAAAAACTATCTCACCATATTCTTTTTCTAGAGAAAATGATTAATTTAAAAAATCAAAAGTACCGAGATTTATAATTTCATTCAAATAACTATCTAATCAACATATTTATTTTTTGACATAATGACTTGTATTGATAATTAGGTATATTCCAAATATCTTGAGAACGGTTGTTTGTAGCGATTTTTACGTAAAAAATAACGGAAATATATTTTTCACTCTCTAGATTTATAGATACAGACGAGAAGTTATTACTACTCAAACCAGTTAAAATATATAAATATATTTAGCGCCATCTACAAATAGATGTCATATTTATATATAAATGAACTTTCTCATGTCAAAAAATACCCAGACACCAATTACATCCCAATATTGACGTTAGTTTGGTGGTTAGCCCTGTATCTCCGAAATGAAGAATTGTAGGACATATATTAATGACCTATTCTATACTACTGACTAAATATACGATTTTTTACATATTTTTATCAATTGAATATGCTGCCGAAGTTTCCAAAATACAATTCGGATGATCCTGTATCATAACACAGACAAACTAAAGTTAGTTTGTGCACAAACTTAGAGACTGTACTTTCTAGAAATACTAAATGTCAGCTGAATATTATTGTAGGGGCTACGAATATTAATTTGCATGATACATCTGAACGATTTGTTAACGATTATATGAATGTAATGAATGAACATGGACATGTTTCGTATATAAACACAATTACTAGACCAGCTCTCAAATTTCAAATAAACTGCTTAAATCTATACTTTTTAGAACAGATATTACCGATCACTATACAGTTATATTTTTTACCACATATCCATTCAAGACTAAATTTGAAGGAAAATGTATAAATGAGTCCACGCGATTGTAAATTCGCAATCGCAATCTGCGATTCTTTTCCATAGCAAACTGCGACTTGCGATAATTGAAACATCTATCTACTGATTTTGGATTTTTAGGCAACAATATTACATCATCGCATTGGGCAGGCGAACGAGGAGCTGAACGAAACGAAAAATCGCAGCATTGCGATTTTCGTTGGCACCGGTGCGGCATCGACACAGTAGTGGGCATGCGAACGAAAATCCGGCAAATCCAATAACCAAACCATACCAAACAATGAGAGGCGAACGAAAATCGCAATATTGCGATTTTCGTTCACAGCTCCCAACTCGTTGGCCTAGACTAGATCGCTAAATAACATTCGCAATCAGGGCCCCGTCATTTTTATGAAGAGTTGGAAAATAGGCTTATGTTTATATACAGCATAATATATATCTATAATTCATTAGTTTTAAATTTTGATAATAGTTATAATAGTATGGATTAAAAAGGTTAAAAACTTCTTGTTTTCGGTTATGACTAATAATTATAGAATTAATAATATTCATAAGGACAGTTTTGGATACAAATTATAAAAATTATCTATTTTTATCCATTATTTACTAGAAGACAGAGAGTACGGAAAAGCAACTCTATTAATATGGATACTTTTTTCAGCCCTTTTTATTTATTATATTTTGTTATATATTATATTATTATAAACATTTTTATAACAATCCATAATATAATATAATATTAAAAATAATTTATATTATATTAATTTATATTATAATTATATTTATTATTATATAATATAATATTATATATATATATATATATATATATATATATATATATATATATATATATATATATATATATATATATATATATATATATATATATATATATATATATATATATATATATATATATATATATATATATATATATATATATATATATATATATATATATATATATATATATATATATATATATATATATATATATATATATATATATATATATATATATATATATATATATATATATATATATATATATATATATATATATATATATATATATATATATATATATATAATATTATATTATATAATAATATAATATTATATTATATAATAATATAATATTATATTATATAATAATATAATATTAATATTAATATTATATATTATATAATATAATATTATATTATATTATAATCAAGCAAAACCAATATGTGTATGGTTTTACTTCATAATTTATAATATCATGGATTGTTTATTGTATTATACTCCGATTTTCTAAAAGATGAACAGTTGTGGATCGGCTACTATGTTAATTTAAATACACCCTTTACAATTAGTTTTTTCATTTTAGAGAAATTTCAAATATAATAAAATATGATATTATCCTATTATTAATCTAAACGTCCGAAAGTTTGGAAAGAAAATTATTTTAAAAGAAAAAAAAGATAAAATAAACAGTTTTTTTTCTAGTTATCTGAATTAAGGTTGGCGGCAACCTTTTTTATAATAAATTTTACGTTAGTATACCTACAGATTGTTTAAAAGCACATTCGAATATTTTGAACATTTTATGTATTTTTAATTTCCATTTTAAATTTATTCGGTCTGTTCTAATCAAAAATATTTAAAAAAAGAAAACTAAGTTATTTGTGGATTTTTTTTTGGAAATTGATGAAAATTTCGAATCTGTGCAGCAAAAATATCATACCAAACAAACACGACAAATTTTAAGAGGCACATGGCATCGAAACACCCAACAGTTTCATTAAATCTTGAAGGCAGGACTGATCGTGGCAACTTGGTAAGTTTTTATAAAAATAAATTATTCCGTTTTTTATTGCACACAGTTTCTAGACATTCAGGTTGTATTATGTAAATTCTGATATTTTTTCAGAAACCTTTATTAAGGGAAGAGGAAAGCAGGGCAAATATTGTCTGATAGGCGAAGCCGCCTTAGCAGTAAAAAAACTAAAATGCTTATATTCAAAACACGAATTTAAGAAAACAATAAGAATATCTAATGTCTAACAAAGAAATTTAATTACTCAAAATATCTTAAGGCTTTCCTTCCCACTGGCGCTAGCCTAGCATTTGTAAGGGTTTGGCTGTCACAAAATGCTGCAAAAACCATGTGACCTTTCTTCACGAATCTTTTTTTATTTGTTTGTATACATCTTAAGACATGCTTATAATTATATTTCCTTCCCCAAACTCAACTCAAACTGTTTCAAATTTACCCCTAAAACACCCTAAAAAAGATGATTTTATAAGTAATTTTTTAGCATTAAATGTATTTAAATCGATTTTAAAACTAATTACGAGCACGTCCGGAACCTTCCTTAATAAAGTGAAACAAAAATTATTTCAAAATATTAAAAAACATGGTCGCAATTTTGTGACGCCCGACCCTCTGCAAATCCAATTTTGATCAGTTTTGTTGCCCGTAATGTAGCGCTTCCACGTGAATTTTGTCGCTGACGCTTTTGAAGGCGGGCAAAGGAAACCAGGTACGTATTCGAATTATTTGGATAAATTATTTTATTACGCTTGTCTCTTACACAATAATTTGAAGTTTTTATTTTGTAATCAAGTCACACGGCAAACAAAATTTGCGTTGCATCTAATGTGTGTGGTCATTGATCATGATGCAATGTAACACAATATAAAACAATAAATAATTAATAAGATGGTTTGACCACTGTGAATTAATATTTTATGGTATTAAATTATTTTCACTATGCTTCAGTTGTCATGGTAATGCCCATTAACTTGGACCGGCGCTACTTCAATAAGCAAAAATTAGAGTATAAAATCGTTATATCGCATTAAATAAAGATATGGTACATGATACAGGATACAGAGATTACATGATATAATAATTGTTACTACTGTTGTACTGTGTTACTCTGCTTTATTATTTTTAAATTGATTAAAAAAATAATATTGTTAAAAGTGATAAAAATTATGCTACAGGTATGTATTATACTGGTGATAGTTAAAGTGCCATAATAATACCGTATGATCGAATAAAAACGGCGTCCAGTTGGCTTGGAAATGACGATCGATGGCATTTCCTATATAAATTTACATATAAAATGACAGCGATTTTCATTTCATAGCCATCGCTGACGCCGTTTTTATTCGATCATACGGTAGTACTCTACAAACAAAAAATAATTCGTTGAAACAACACACCAAAATAAAATAAAAACACTGAGATGTACTAAGATGATATCTTTACCCAAAAAGTATGTACTACATATACGAAGTAAATGGACATACATATAGGCCAGGGTTTCTTAAAGTGGGGTCCACGGACCCAAGGGATTCATAGCATGTGTATCAGGGGTCCACGGTCCGCATTACGCCAGTTAACTGTAAACATATTTATTAACGTTTTTTTTTATTAAGGCTTTTTTTATTTTCCTCTGTTATTTCTGATAGGGGTCCGTGGAATTGTACAAATTGCGAAAGTAGTCCGTGACTGCAAAAAGTTTAAGAAACCCCGATATAGGCAATAATAATGCATATAAACATTTACTATATTAGATAATAATATTGTTTAAAAATGGACGATTACGATGGACTACTTAACTTTTAACAGAGATA